AGTCATATTGTGTGTGTGTGTTCATACTACTTTATTTTGTTTTGGTCAAAAGGGGCCACTTTATGGGCTGACCAACTTTGATTATTCACCAGAAACAAAAAACAAAGAAAGCTATTTTGGTGCATCTGACTCTTCATAATGGGAGTGGAAAACAAATACTGCGGCAAATCCTCCATTTTCCTGCCTCCACAAATGCAGACCCACAGATTTTAATTACTATTGCAGTATCTTCCATCCATCCCTGCGGAGGGCATTAACTGTAATCAGTGGAAGGTAGAATCATTCCTCAGAGTGTGCTTCTTCAAAGGAGCTAGATCATTTCCAAGGCTATGCTGAAATTTAAACATATGATTCCAGGGGGCAATCCCAGCATTTAGCAATATTCCAGATGTTTGGAAGGGAGCTCATCTCCTTTCAGAATCATTTCATGTTTGGAAGGGAGCTCATCTCCTTTCAGAACCATTTCAGCAGTGTGGGTGGAAGAGAGACTGTCAGAAAGTGAAGAGAGCAGGAAAGGGAGCCTGCATAGTTTTACTTGGGAGAGAATCTCCAATAACACCATTTTTATGGCACATTTTAAAGCTGATAATTTTATGGGGATTCTTTAAAAAGTATTGTTTTTAACTTTGTGAACTGCTTCAAGCAGGAAAGTCCCTGGACAGGTAGTATATAACTTTTCTGAATCTCTCTGGAAACAGCGGTAAGAAAAGACTCTCTTGATCTATTTTGAAAGCCCACCTTGACATCAGCAAGAAGAAGAACCAGGGGTCACCCACTTTAATGAGAGCTACTTCTGAGTAATGAAAAAGATCCCTGCTCCCACCCCCAGCATGTTACCAGGTTTTGTGCTGCCCTAGACACAACATGAATCAAGAAGAGCACTGGAAGTGAAGCTATCGGCTAAGCAGCACAGAGAAAAGTCCTATGAGATAAAAGCTTTTAAAAAAGAAAATACCTCAAGCAGATCTTTTTATTATCTTTTTCTGAATCTTCCAGAGGATACATGAGCCAGAGAACTACTTGTAGCTCGTGAGCTACCTGGTGGAGACCCCTACAACAGACCAATCCTCTTCCCCCGCTCCTATTTGCATGTTTAAAAATTCCAAACCCAGAATGGCAAGCCCAGACCAAGCTACAGATTTCTCAGAGCATTGCCTATTCAGCTGAGCTGTAGCTCGGACAGTCAACTGAGTGACCAGTGAGGCAGCCGTAAATCTGGAATGAATATTCCAGTACGAGTTGAAACAAAAAGATTGTGACCAGGTTGTAATTGGGTCATGAGGAGTAGGCTTTAGATGGACAATCCCCGAGCTTTTTGAATTACAGGAACCAGCAATGGCTGCACCTAATGCAGCTGGCCTTAGGCACTTAGAAAGAGGGATTTGAATATCCCCACTAAAAGATGGATTCTAAAAGAAAAGCATCAGATGGCTCAGAGGGTATGTTTGCCTCAAATTGATCATTGTCTATATGTTATATGGGGCCATGTAAAAACAGACGCCTGGGAAGATGTGTGATGACTCCTGAGTTCAATGTACAGCATTTAGAGAAACCAGTTATAGGAGGATTCTAAGAGGGCGGGTCCAGAAACAGGGAAGGTGACAGTTGGAAAATGACAGTTGGGGGAGAGTGGGTAGTATCAGGAAGGGCAGTGGAAGAGTATGACAAGGGGTAACCGTTATGTTATTTTTGGCATAATGGGATATTAAGAGTTTATTAGCCTGTTTAGCTGTCTCTTTTTGATATTATATTAAATGTAGAAATTATCAAAATTGCCACCAACAGTGTCTCTTCCCTCTACTGAAAGACTCTGTGTAAACCCAGGACTTTGACTTTATCTCCTTCGGGTCTACCTTGCAGTCATCAGTTTCTGGGTTCCTTCTGGGTTCTCTCCCATGAGGATTCTGTTTAGCTATGCTAGGGTTGCCCGCCTCCAGGTGGGACCTGGAATTACAACTGATCTCCCGACTACGGAGATCATCTGGAGAAAATGGCTGCTTTGGAGGGTGGACTTTATGGCATTATAGCTCTGCTGAGATCTTGTGTTATACCATTCATAATTTTGTAAATATTCCATCCCCACCCCTTGGAGGCAACTTCCTTTCTAAATCCCAAACTCGATTCCTGTAGTCCTCTTTTAGACAGAAAGCCTTTCTTGGTCAGCAGGATAGCCAGCCTCTTTCATATTTTAGACTGAGACCTGCTGCAGAATCTTCTTCTTGATGTAGCTAATTGTATTACTTGTATTAACTACCCAGAAGCAGCCTTTGAGGAGAGCCGTGTACGCATGTTCAGTTCATTTTGGATGCAAAGTTTGAACCATGAGCTGATGCTGCCTTTTCTGTCCCTTGCTTCCACCCACCCACAGAGGTGGACCTCTTCAGTCCAGCCCGAATCTCTGAAAAGGTCCTCTTGCACCTGCTGAAACACCCAAGTGTCAACCAAGACGTGAAATTTGATGAAAGCAACCGCCTGGCCCCTGAGCACTACCTGTACCAGCGCAATCAACCGGTCAATTATTTCATCCTTATCTTGCAGGTACCACTTTTCACTGAGCATTTATTTAGCGGCCGAGCTGTGTTAAGCAGGGTGAAGCCTCCACCTCGAATGAGGGAGCTGTGGCAAATTAAGGAGCCGGGTTCCGCACCCACTCCAGACCAAGGCCAAATCCAAATCTTCAGAGTGCACTTTTCTGTTTGGGGTCTCTGGAGTCCATGGCCTGAGGTGGAAGGTGGGAGTCTGCAGTGTGTAGCCAGATTAGCGAGACCTGAGCAGTGTGGAGGTTTCAAACTGCCTGCCGGTCACAGGGCTGATGGTGACACCCAGTTCCCTTCAGTACCAGGTGACAGTTTTCAGACCTGAGTGCAAATTGTCTTCATTGCCCCGTTCAAGATCCAGAATCCCTAAGGCGCACCTCCTCAGTTTGCATGGAGATCAGGCTGCACTCCCTGGTCCATGTAATCTGCACATGACCCTGGTGGGCCTTGGGGTCGAAGCAAGAGAAACTGAGCCATTTCCTCCTTTTCCAGCCACCAAACATGAATTGACGGAGCAAAGTGCAGTGGGCCGCACAAAGCCCAATTCTCTCTCTCCAGACATAGTTGGGTTTGTAAAGGGAGTTGTGGAGCTTCTTCCAGCCTCTGACACCCCTATCATGAAGTGTGTGAGCTCTTGCATAAGGTGCATCTCTCTCTCCTCTATCTCCCCCACCACCAATGGATGAAAAGGAGATGGGGAACAGTGTGTGAGCATGCAGAGAGGGGGAGCTTATTCTGGCTCTGGTGGTGCTGGGTCTCAGACCATGGAGTTTCTAGAAGCTTCCTCCCCAAACTAAACTCCATGAGGAGAGGTGGGGTATAAATAATTTAACAAGCATGGCTTTGCTGTTCATCCATTGGTCGAGGAGCTGTTGTAATCTAATGACACCCCACACCCCTTGACAGATATCCAGACTTTAAAGTGAACTTTCTGAAAAGGCTTCACAATGGTGGTACTCACATGCTTAGATGGTATGAGGTCATCCAGTGGGAAATAAGGAGCCAGTGTACTTTCTGTAAAAGGCAGATGGGCCACAGACCTTGGCCTTTCTCCACATGGGGTGGCACAGCGAGGGCTTGGCTCACTCCCAGGCATCAACAGCATGATATTAGCATCGCTTCCTAGGCCTACACAGCCAGCCCCAGCTAGGACCAAGTCAGATCTTTGCAGTTCACCACATCATCTTGACTTGGGCCCAGCCAGCAGCGGTAGGCTCTGAAGGTGATGGGTGTACCTTGCTTGGGGCAGTAAAATAGCCTTGAACTAGCCCCCTGCAGATGAGATGGCACTGTGGATTCTAATTATTATTATTTATTATAATAATGCATCACTTTTGGTACAGATTGGCTCTCCAAGTGGCTTATAATGGCTCAATTCCGTCAGAAAGAAAGAGGGTAAGGGATAGGTGGGTATGTATGTGGGCGAATCTTCCAATCCCAACAGGTGAGGGCGTGGTCCAGTTTCATTTTTCTGGCTGGTCAGATTGGACAGAAGGATCTGCAGCTAGCTTCAGGGGCTGGCTGATGGTAAAGGTGCCAGGCCACAGAAGCAGCTGTATATACAAGGAAGTCTCATTTCTGCACAAGCAAAAATGTAAGTGGTAGAGCCATAGGGAGCCAGGTGATGCTGGTTTGGGGTCCAGATCTGACCCATGGGCCACCAGTTTCTCGTCCCTTGCCTAATGGGATAGTAGTGTATCGTAAGAAGAGGCCATCTGGATTATCAGGAGGATCAAGGGAGCAAATGAGATTAGGATCTAAGAAGCCGCTTGGTCAGATCCAGTGCTTTTCCTGCCTCCCTATTAGTACTGATCCTGGCTTGCTGTTAATATGTTCTCCTTCCTAGGGCAGGGTTGAAGTCGAGATTGGAAAGGAGGGACTGAAGTTTGAAAATGGAGCCTTCACGTATTATGGTGTCTCTGCACTGACAGCTCCATCCTCAGGTGAGGCGCACTCTCTAGCCTGGCTCTTCTTACCGCCAGTAGCCCTTTTGGGAAGGGGGAATTTACTCTAAGGACCTTAAGGGGAACTTAGTGAGGACAGATGGAGGGACAGCAATGTTGTCTCCACCTAAAGAGTTCCTGAGGTTAACAGACCAGCATTTCTAAAGTCTCCTAGTGAAAGGTGAGATTTGAACCAGAGGCCTTCTGGTTCACAGCTCAGCTGTGGTGCAACACTAACTCTGAATGCATGTGAATGATGCCAGTTGAGCAAATACACATGTATGATAACTTATCTATCAGTGTTGAGATGCGGAGGGAAAGAAGGCTTTACTTAGTAGCTGTTGGTGGGGGGAGCCAACATACATTTGGGCTGTATTTTTCCTCCTGTATGTATAAGAGCTAGAAACGTGTTAAATTCAAGATTTGCAAAATTTTGTTAGAACCTACATTTCTCGCCCTGCTTGTCCCTGCTCCACTCTAAACCCTGCCACCTTTTTCTTTAATAGTTCACCAGTCCCCAGTGTCTACCCTCAGGATGAATCGTCGTGATCAGCAACTGGATGGTGGGGAGAGCAGTAACTACTCCATGTACTGTCCTGACTACACTGTCAGAGCTCTCACTGACCTGCAGTTCATCAAGGTAAGCAATAACATGGCATCTGGAATGACCTTCTCTTGGCCAACCATGTACAAAGCTTCCAAAGAGATTCAACAGATATTCATGGGGGGGGGGGTGTTAATCAGTAGCACTACTGTTGGGGTGTGCATCTTGGCTTGTTGGCTTGAGTAATTTGAAGCTAATATGCTACCTTGGAAGGACCTCTGACCCATTAGGCAAAATGCAGCCCAGCAGTCAGCTGCTTGACAAGCCCTGCTTTTTACAGTCCTGGGCAGCAGAAAATGGGGTATGGCTGGAAAGTCCCTCACGCAGCCACCTCGCTGAAAAGCTCAGAAGATCTGGATTTGGTCTGAGCCTGATTGGGACATCTGGGAATCTCGTGTTTTCTTCCACATGATCTCTGGTTGAAGAAAGGCAAAATGTAAAGAAATAAAGAACAAGAGGCTTATTGGTTGGCTGCATTCAGCTCAGGGATTTGCTTATGTTACCCAACAACCTTTTCCACAGTTAGAAAATCTCTAAACACCCCCCCCCCGAAGTGTGGGGTACATGGTTAAAATCTCAGGATTGCATATTTGGGGTGCAGAGCCCTTCTGTGGGCCAAAACAGAATAATCAAAATAGGAATCTCCAAACATGATTCATGAATAAACCCATTTTTGTCTTGATCCACATGCAGAGGTTCTTTGCTCTTAACTGGGAAATGTGTTTTCAGTCAAACCCTTCGAGTCAAGGAATTTGTACTATGGGTTTGTCTTTTGAGTACCTACCTGTTCTCCTTTTCGTATTGTTTTCCCATTCTTCAGCTGTTTTAAGCTGTTTCCTGGTTTACTATTGATTCTCTGTGTGGTTGTCCTAGCCCTTGTTGAGTTTGTTTCACTTGTTATGCACAGGTACGTACACATATAGAAACGCTTTTATATATTCTTCTCTGCAGGTCACTCGGCTACAGTATCTGAACGCCCTCATGGCCTCCCGGATACAAAACTCACCCCAGTCACCTGATGCCATTGAACTGAAAATCGTTCCCAGCAGCCAGACAAAACTTCTGAATGACAAAAATGCTGCAGCAGGTATGTGCTCATGTGACCGTGGCCACCAGATGCTGGTGTAGCTTTACACCTTGATGTTCTTTTTGCCACCCCGGTTTCACATCTTGTCTGTACCTTTGGATGCAGAGTGCTGAGGGTCCTCCTGTGTACTCGCCTTTCTGCTTGTGCTCATTAGCTGCGGAGGCCAGCCTCGCCGTAGATCCCTTCAAAAGACCTCCGGGCTGGTACTCAGGCTGAGGCCCTACTTGATGCCCCAGATAAATGAGCTCAGGTACAAAGGCAGATCCTGGAGAGAGGAGACAATTCGAGCTATTGTGCTGCCCTGGATGAAAAATCATTTTGTTCTTGTTGTGTAGGGTCTGATGCCAGGGAGGAATCATATTCTCTCATTTGGAGAGATTTCTCAATGACAGCCTCTTTTCACCCATAGTACTAAATGGGTATTTTATGTATTTGTTCATTTTATCTAAAAGTTCAGCCTCCCCTTTCCATTATCTGTGTCCCTGGCAAAATTAATACTTTAAAATGGTACAAACAAAATACAAGACAGCATGAGAAATGAAAAAGCAGCATTCAAACAAATAAAAGTTTTTGTAGCCAGGAAGCCTAATCCGGGTAGGAGGCTGTGGGACAGCCAAGAAAAACGTGCCTGAACGTTAACGACATTGGCAACAAACAATCCTTTTGGCAGCGGGTGCTGAGGGCGTGGTGCCCTTGTGAAAAATGGCCATCTGTTCTGAAAGGAGGGGCATTTGGAGCAGAACCTTCAAAGAAGTGCTCATGGGCTCATTTTGGGATATCAAGGCAGGCCCTCAATTTGTGTTTGTGTCCTGAGGTCTCTTGACAGGCTCTACAGGGAGGCCAGACTCAGCTGCCTGCCTAAGGCCACAGTCAGGAAGAACAGGAGGGAGCGACACAAAAATGCTCCCCCCCCCAAAAAAAACCCCTGATCATCTTATTTGCAAAGGTCTAGAGCAGGAGGGAGAAGGGTTGTGCGCCCCCTTGTGGGATTTCCAAATGAGGTGCTGGAATTCTGCCATTCATCATACTGGTTTGGATGGTGCAGCTGTGGTTTTCACGCCATACTGCAGGGAGCTCTGGGACTCCTGAGAACCTTATCAGGGGTTCCTGAAGAACTCCCACTATAGGGGAGAAAATTCTCTGTGCTGTTGATCTTCCCCTACAGTGTGCAGCTGGGGGTGTTGGGGCTGAAATATTCTCAGTTTGCATAGGCAGCAGTGAGGCCCAAACCGCATGTCTGATACTTGGTGTGCCTGAGAAACTGCCCCAGAATCCTCAGCAGTTGGGCAGACAAGCGCAGCTGGAAAGCTTTCCCTTATGTTAGATGCTTTGAACAGTGGCCAGTGGGCAAAGAGAGTCCTAGTTGCCCTAGTTGCTGGTATGTTTCCTGGGCGTGTATTGGCGACCTGACAGTGGGATCGCAAGCAGAGAGAGACCCTTCTAAGCCCTGTTGACCTCCATGAATGTAGAAGGGTGTTAAACTCTGCTTAGGAAGCACTGGGAATCTCTGATCAAAGTGTCTTCTGTCTGCATTTTCACTTCTGCTCTTTCTTCACAACTTTTGGCAGCTAAATGCAGGTGTCTCTCCTGTTCTGTTCCTTCCTTTCTCCCTCCAGCCTTCCCGCTAAACCTCTCTCTCTTTGGCACAATTGAGAACTGCATTTAATACTGGCCTCTCTGCCAGGGTCTGGAGTGGGTTTTTATTTTCAAAATCACAAGGTAAATACCTGGTTCTTCTCTTGTATTTCCCCTCTCCTTGACAAGACTCCTGAGATGGTCTCCCAGCTGCATGGGAGCCACATCTCGGCAAGCAGCTTCCTTGGATGACACAACCTCATGGCCAGAATCTCATGGATCTTTCCCAGGGAATAGGCATCACCTTGGGGAAGGGGCACCGGTTCCAAAGGAGAGGCCCATGCCCATTAAGTTGGGATCATGTGAATGTTCTAGTCATGTGGGGCCTGCCCACAGATCAGTGGGTCCCACACAGGTGGAAAGAAATTGGTGGGGCACCCTTTTAGACTGAGTCTGCGCTTGCAGCTGAATAACATGGCAGAAGGGACTGTACTGCTGCATGTGGGAGAATATGACTTTGGAACTCTCCTCCATATTTAAAAAGAAAAAAGTAAAACACCTCCCTGCAAATGGAAAATGCGCACAGAAGGCAAAGGACTGGGCTCAAAGCTTTCTCCTTAATGTGCTAGTTTTGCATTTGCAAGGGAGTCTTTAATACAAAGGAGCGTTCAAAAAGGTGACTCCCACAGCAGTTGTGCCATTCATTTTACTGTCTCATTTCATTGCATCCTGTAGAACACGTTTCTGGTCTGTTGAGTCATGAATCCCCCCCCCCCCCCCCCTTTCCTTCCCCCTTTTAATGGTGGGTAGAAGGGGAGATCCAGTCTGCAAGAGAACAGGGAAGGAGTTAAGTGGTGCATGTGTGTCTGTTTCCCTTTGCCCTGCAGCCAGACTCCAGGAAAACAATTTATCTCCTTCAGTATCATTTTCAGCTTGTCTCACATGGGTGAATACAGATGGCTGCCTTCAAAGTGAGAATTTGCCATGGTGTGTGCATGATCATTTAGCAAGTCAGTTGTCTGTCTTTGTGCTCTCCCACCCTACACTGTCTACCTTCCTGGTTCTACTTCTTCCAGCCTGTGCATATGCCATGACTCTACAAAAGCACAAAATACAGCGCTGGGCATAAAACTCAGCTTCCTACTTTAATTTTTGAAAGAATTAAATTTCTAGTCCTTATGGTTGTGAAGCTGTGATTGCAAGGATGTTGCCAGCAGCTGTTATGACAACTCAAAAGCCAGAAAAGCAGTCGAATTAGATTTGTCGGTTTTCAGTCACTGGTGGCTTGGCGTCTGTGTTCTTCCTTGCCTTTCCTCCCTTGACTGTGAGACGTGAATGCATTTTGTGAAAATAGGTTTTTAAAGTGGCAGAATCAGCACAGTAAGGTCAAGTATGCAAATCTGCTTTCTTTGAAGAATCTGTACAGGGTTTTTCAAGTAGCCTTTTAAAAAAGTAATGATTACTAACCCAGACCAGGCTATCTGCTTCTCCAAAGCGTGTGACAACTCACTACCCTTTGCTGGGTTTTTTAGTCACCCTGAGAACCAGTAAAAGTAGAGGATTCCATATCTGGCACACATCATCCCTCCCAGACATCTTAGCCCCCATTTTTTCATGTTCCCAGAAGTCCTGTTGAGCTGGCAAAATGGGTGAGCAGCACCTGATGAGATTTCAGAAGCCTGAAGGTGAGCTTAGCATGGAGCTTGTCCGGAGCTGTCGACTTTAGCATCCAGCCGAGAAACTAAATTGTGCAAAATAAGGTGATGGGGACAAGTATGGATACTTACACATACAGCATTTATATAATGCTTTAGAGAGTCCACAGTGCTTCAGGCACATTAATTTAGGGTTTCTGAGGCCAGTTATTAACCCCATTATTGCCAAGGGAGGGGGAGTGACTTTCAGCAACTTACCTACACAGTCAATTTGCAGCTTGGAGGAGAGTGGAGCAGAGGTGCCTTAGGCTGGTGCCCTTAACACTACTGTTGTACTGGTTTTGCCGAATGTGTTTCCCCTAATGCAAAATTTGCATTTATTTCCTTTTGTGCTGTAAAACGTATTGTCGCCTTCCCTCCCAGTTCCTTGGCTCAGCCACTTGTTCCCAAGCCAGTGAGGATTCATTTATTTAGACCCAAGTGGTAACTCAGAGTGGCTTAACAGCATCCCACTCCCCTCCAATGTTCCCTCTAAACTGTGGAGTCTTGTGAGCCAAAATTCTACTTGGTGAGCGGCTGGCATTAAAGTTGTGAGTGAGCAATTTGGTTCCTGCATAAATTAGTTTGCTCTGGGGCCCTCCTTCCTGAGCGAAGGCAAAAATGTGTGAGCCAGAGGCTAAAAACTGTGAGCCAGCTCACACTAACTCAGCTTAGAGGGAACACTGCTCCCCTCCTCCATTTTATCCTCACAAGAACCCTGTTAGGCAGGTTAGCCGGAGAGAGTGTGTGACTAGCCCAAGGTCCCCCAGCAAGCTTCCATGGCAGAGGGAGGATTTGAGCCTGGGTCTCCTAGATCCTAGTCCAGCATTCTAACCGCTGATGGCCACTCTCTTTCTTCTTGCTCCAGGAAAAAGCAGAAGCAAACTAAACCTCCTGGATGAGGAGAGCCTCAGCCGGAGCACTGGAGTCTGACCTGCTGGAGGCTGCTGTCGAACTGCAGGGGGATGGGCTTGGGTGGATCTCCTGGCTTGCACCCATGCATCCCACGAACATCTCGTTTGGTGCCTGCATCCTAGACTCTGGGGAAACTGGATGTCTCTTGCAGCCAAGCAGGCTGCGGGCCCCTTTAGGTGGCTTCTGGTGCTTTGACCTGGCTGTGCACAGGATTCACCCCCCCCCCCTTTTTACCAGGACTTGACTGGTAGTTGCGCTCAGGAGGGGCTCCACCGGCAGCAGCGAGCAGCCAGCTTGTGCCTATAGACTCATCTGCTTCCGGCACCTGTGCGGGGGTGGGGTGGGGCTAAGGGTCTCCAGGAGGAATACACCCCTGCCAGTATTGATGTCCCTTCCGCTGCAACAAACCCCCTTGGACTTCTTCCAGATGGCCTCCTGCATGTTTTTCCCAGTTTGTCACACACAATGGCAAGTTGCACTGGCAGTCCGGAGTGGGGGGGGGGGTCAGCTTTGGAGACCCGCAGCATCCCTCTTGGCTCTGTAGCTGCTGGCTGGGAGGCAGCTTGTGCTGAACTTATGCTGCAACCTCCAAGTTTGCCCTGTGTCTGCTGCAAGGACATGCATTACATGGAACCGGCATCCAGCTGGTCTGCCAAGTTGGCATTATCCATGGTTGGATGTTTCTCTAGGGACCTACTCCTCCTACCTTACTGGGCCATTGATGTCACCTGTATTGCTGGTCCTCTATGTGCCAGGTCTCCCCACATTTGCCCATCCTTGCCCAGTGCCAGGTATAGCATTATGCCATCCTGTGCCCCCCCCCCCCCCCGTCCAAATTGTGCCAAAGTCCATAACCTCTGGAGCCACACTGCAATCCTGAAATTCAGCTTGCCAACTGTGCCTCCCACCCTTTCCCAAGATTCTGATCCCCAAGGGCTGCCTGTGCCAACTGGGGGAGTGCTGTCTTTCTGCAAAGGGGCCCCTGCTTCCCAGGGACTGCCCACCTCCTCCCTCTCCCTCTCCCTCTCTCTCAATTTATATCTGAAGCCCTTTAACACAACCTAGGCTTTAACTGTGCCCTTGGCACCAGCAACGACTCCAGAGGCAAACAGCCCCCAAGGCTGTGATTGCTTCACAGTGGACTTTATCAAATTTCAAGGTGCAACCCTCCACAAACCCCCTCCTGACTTCTCATGTAAACTATGCGGGAAGGGGTGCTCTCCTGATCTAGGCATCATGTGCACTGACGCTCTTGCCTCAACCCTTGCTTGCCAAAGCATGAAAAATTCTGCAGCATTTTATGGACATTTGCCCAAGAAGGCTCACTGGGGAAGTCTTAACTGGGTACCGCATCTCCTATGGCTGCTCCTGATGCCTTCCTGTCCGTGTGCTTAGAAGAGGAGCTGCTGTCTTGTTTCCTTCGGACCCATCCTTCACCTCAGCCATCAGGTCCAGGTCCAAGAGGCGTTGTTAGATGACTTGGTTTGCCGTTGTCTGTAGGTAGGCCTCCACTCCAGCATTGGCAGAGAGACTGGCTTTTTTTCTTTCTAGTTGCTACTAACAGTATTTTTCCCAGAGTTCCTATTTTTTAAAGGAAATAACAAGACAGAGGAGCAAGGGAGAGGGCGGGATTCCTCACTCTTCTTTTCTCTCTCTTCCACAAAGACAGTTGACCTTCTCTAAAAGCAATGTATAATTTCAGGTAAATTATTGGGTACCTGCCTTTATGTTGTAGTTTTCCCCCCATAAGGACTGTACCTTCAAATGGAATAGTCTAATCTTTAAATGTGTCTATTTAAAAGTCATTGGTCTGCAGGGGAGTACGAGTTTCATCAATATGATAAAAAAAAATCCCCCCAACCCACTTTGGTGCCACAGGGAAGTGGTTTTCTGGAAGAGGATTGAAAGCTTCCTGTCTTGCTCCTCTTAGGAGGAGCACTGGGGGTTTTCTCAACAAAGCTGGTGAGTATTACCATGGCAGTGTCCTTACCTGTGGTGTGGGGAGCACAGCTGAGTGCCAGTCACGGGTCCTCATCCTGCTGAGTCACACTGCCTTCGGTTGGTAGGATTCAAGCCATTCCTTGGCTGTTTCCACCTAGATGTTTTGCTCTGCTTTGGCTTCCTTTTGGCAGCACTGTTTTCCAGAGCATCCACATGACTTCATCCCATTTGTCTGGTTTCCCCCACTTTGCTGCAGTCTTCCTCCACACCTGGTGTGGTACAATCTTTTTGGAAAGAACACTGCCAAAGCACCTCTGAAAGCCATGTGGACAGGAAGGTGTGAATTTTGCCACACCAGCACTGTTTTCTTTACCTCCACCTGCCCCCCACAGCTGCCTCTTCCACCTCCATGGGCTTTCCCCCCAGCTTTTTGGAAAAACAGGTAACTGACAGATCACTGTAGCAGAATAAAATATAACAATATTATTATAATTTATACATTTCCCCTTACAACTCTGCAACAAAAAGGGCTAGACACTTTTTTTTAATGAAAACTGGAAACTAATAGATTGTGGCAACAGTTCTAATGGTACAGCAACCTTGGCGATTACTAATTTTTAAAAAGCCCTCTGTTGGCTGAGGAAATAACAGCCATGGTGGTCTGAGGTAAGGAAAGTGTGTAGAAAACAAATGGATGCTCCATTGCCACTAAAAATGGCTCCATATTTGCAGCAGCAACAAGAGCTACATGGAGAATCGTCTTTGTGTGGAAGCAGTCCTTGAGCACCAATGTGTAATTATGCTTTAAGGCTTGGTTTGCACAGTATGCACCCCAATTGATTCCTCTACACTGGATGACCGGCAGCTGGTTGTATGAATGGCTTCTTTGGAAAGCATTGCGTTTGATACGAAAGCCCTCTGTGTTTGATATGAAAGTGTGGCGTTCTAGTTGTGATGACTTAATCAAATGTGCAAGGCATCCTATGAGGTTGCAAGGGGTAGAGAACTCCTTTTTGGGTGACCATATATACTTACTTTCTCCATCTGCTCAGCTAACTCCGTTTACTCTCTGAGGAAAGTCTCTGCGCCTGAGGTTCCAGGGTGTCAGGCTGTCCCCTTTCTCCAGGCTTAAATGGGGCTGATGCCACAGCAGCACAAGAGAAAGGTGACCTCAGAAGCAGCACTCTGGTGAGACACAAATCGCAACAGCCCTTCCATCCACATGCCTTCAAAAGAGGCCTTAAAATAATTTTATTATTTGCCAGAGAGAAAACACATCACAAAAGCTGATCATTGCCAAAAGCTGGCTTTTGAGTCACGAGGGTTTCAGCAGGCCCTGGCCTCCTCCATTCAGGCCCTCTGCCACCCAACATTGTCTGGCACAGCCCGTCTCCGGCAGCGTGCCCTGTGACAGAGGGTGGGGACAGAGAATGGGGTGGTGGGCTGCGTTGTGCACTGAGCGGCAGTCAACTGAGAACACGGCCAAAGGCTAGCTCCACCCAGTGGACTGAATGAGTTGCTCACTCTTCCACCATGGCAACGTGTTCCTTGCTCATCACCGCTTGAATTGATCAGTAATTCATAAAAAATAGAGACAAGTACACAGTTTGTGATGCATTTACAATTCAGGATCAACTTGGAAGAGGTGAGATCTCGCACCCCTCTGTAAAGATCTGTTCAAGTAATTCCTTCCAACCCAGCTGCTCTTTTTCTGCAAAGTGGGCAGGGTGAAGAGGTTTTGCATTCATTCATTCATTCTCCAGAGTTCAGTATGGCCCACGTACCAGACAGAAAGGCCAGGGCAAGCCATGCTGGTTGTCATCAAGACACTCAGGGCAATGCCCATCCTCGCTCTGGGGCTCTTTCGCTGGGATTTTCTTGTAAAGGTTAAGAGGTTATCAGGTACACAATACACAAAACCAGTTTCATGTGCAAGTTATCAGTGGACTGAGTCAGGGAGCTGCTCTGCATGCTCCAGACACACTGACCATTGGGTAGCGAGAAAATGGCAGGGTGGCCAGCCAGTGGCAACTGCGCCTGCTTGGCCCTGACCAAATAACATCCTTTGCAGAGAATGCTGGCTGGGGGTCTCTTGGCCTGGCCAGCAGCGTCAAGATCCCACTTTGCCAGCAGGGAAGGAATGAGAGGATCATGAGGACATAAAGCCCCACAGCAGTGGCTGGGAATGGCAAAGAGGGTGTGGCTGCTGCCACCACAAGGGCTGAGGGCAAAGAGGTAATGACGTCGTATGGCAGGCTCTGGTGCAGGGATTCCTACAAGGGAAGAGTCCCAATACTTAGAAACAGAAGGGCCTCCTTCTTCTCTCATGCCTTGCAACCGAGGGAAACTGAGACTCCGGAGAGAGATGACCCTTGTTCCAGTGTGCAGGAAGCAGGCTCAGGCCTAACTGCAGCTTAGCTTGCCTCGTCCACATCTTCCCTCCCACCCTCCCCCTCTGCTAGGGACCTCTTTTGGCCCTCAACCACTGAACCCGGGAGGGCCATACTAGGAAGCACCTGCATTCTGTAAAGAACAAGAGGAGATGAAGCGCAAAGGCTCTGGGATCTGAGCAAGGCTGGAGCGGAGACCTGGCCCTTCTTCCAGGCTGTGGGGCTTTCTTCCCCATGCAGATGCACTGGGCTTAGCCAAGCCCTGGGCGATAGGCGCTTCCCCAGTCCTCTTTGACAACCACTGAAGGAGATGCCGCAGTCTCCCCCCTGCAGTTTCTTTGACACTGAGTCGCTTAGGAAATGCCTAAGGTTTACCGTGCACCCACCTTAAGGACACAGCTTTTGCTCCTGTCCTCTTTGGCTTGGGCACATCTGCCTTAACCAAGAGGTGAGGACAATTCCTATTGCTAACGGAAGAGGCTGAACCCCCACCACCCCCCAGAGGCACCTGGGATTCAAGTGTCATCTCTCTCGTGCCTTAGTTTCCCTCATGGGACCATCTCTTCTCTGTGACATCCAGGAGCAGCACTGCTGTCCCGGTGCACTCCCAGCTGCAGGAAAGTCTCTTTTGAGGTCTGTGTTACAAAGAGATGTTTCCAAGGGACTCTCTTCTCCCATCTTGGCCGGAGGATGTACTGTAGACTTCACTGGAACTGGAGTCGTGAAGAGACCGCAGTCCTGCCCACAGCACCAGCTTGGCGTGCAAAGTGGCCAAACCTAGTGGGGGCTGTTGGTCACAGGCTGGTGGAGGAGTGGGATGCCAGCTTCTGGGGCCAGCATTCCCCCCCCCACTGAAGCCCCTCCACACTCCTCAGTTCCTGATGTAGGGATGCTGCCGGTCAGCACATGCCTGCAGCGTCTCCCGGATGCCCGTCTGCCAGTCCTTCACCAGGTCCACCGGAGTCACTGCCGCCTGCCACAACAAACACCAAGGGGAAACAAGTTTGCCACTGGCTTTGGAGGCTAGAAAACATGCTGTTACCCTTTCATACCCTTTCTTTTCCCTCACTTTCTTTGGGTGGGAGCTGATTTGGGACAGGACAGAGAGAATTTTGTCCTTTGCTATGGGTCAGGTCCACAGCTGGGAAGCTGCTCCCACGCATTGCAGTGGTCTGTCGGCAGGCATTGCCAGGGGTAAACCTGTGCCTGAGCTGTAACGCTTCAGACTGGAGGTGAGAGTTCATCGGATGGAACACTCCTCCTGTCAAGCGAAAGCGAGTCTTCTGATATGCCAGTTTTATACATGCAAGGGATTTGGCCGAGTTAAAAGAAGTATTTGGTCATATGAGTGCCGCTCATAGTTTAAAGTGGCACCTCCCAGCCACAAGTTCACCCCCTCAGTGAGAACTATACAGTGGCCCAGGAGGCACCAAATGCGTCAACAATGGTGTTGGGACAGATGCCACAGGCCTCGCAACCAGTGCTCCCTCTAAGCTGAGTTAGTGTGAGCTAGGTCACAGTTTTTTAGCCTCTGGCTCACACATTTTTGTCTTAGCTCAGGAAAGATGGCTCCAGAGCAAACTAATTTATGCAGTAGCCAAATTGCTCGCTCACAACTTTAATGCCAGTAGTTCACAAAGTGGAATTTTTGCTCACAAGGCTCCACAGAGAGCTCACAACCACCCCTCCATGCATGAGCTCTGTGCCCATGCCCACAAAACATATGTGCCATCCACCTAGGGTGAAGAGGCAGCAAAGTGCCTTCTTGGTCCCAGCCCAATCCTCACCTCATTCTGGATGTTGAGGTTGGCACCATACATCAGTAGCATCTTCACAGCCTTGAAACGTCCCAGCCGGACTGCATCATGAATGGGCGTGTCTCCTTCCTGCCAGGGGAGGAGAGGGGGAGCTTGGGTTTGCCAACTAATTGTCTGCATCACTGTCCATTGAATCGGCAGGGATGGACCCTGATGGCTCAACCCGTAGAAACTCTCAGCTTGGATGCAGTGAGTCCCAAGCTGAATCCTGGACAGTTCTAGCCATGAAAATCTAGGAGGGCTGGAAAAGACCTGTGCTCAAAACTTTGGGCAGCTCCTGCCCATTGATATGGATGACGCTGGACTTAAATGGACCAGTGGTTGACTCAGGACAAGCAGGACTGGGATAAAGCTAGAATTCTGGGTGGGGGTGGGGATCCAAATTCTGACGCCTAGGTGCATTGTGGGCATTTGTTTTATATCCAGAGCTTTAAGAACAAGGTCTGATGCCAGGGAGGGATCATGGACTCTCATTTTGTGAGGTTTCTCAATGACAACCTCTTTTCACTGCCCCATACTAGTAAATGGGTATTTTGTTTACCCATTTAGAAGAAGAAGAAGAGATTGGATTTATACCCCGCCCTTCGCTACCCAAAGGTGTCTCAGAGCGGCTTACAAACCCCTTTCCCTTCCCCTCCCCACAACAGACACCCTGTGAGGTAGGTGGGGCTGAGAGAGCTCTTGACAGAAACTGTTCTTTTTCAAGGACAGCTCTTATCAGAACTACGGCTTGCCCAAGGTTGTCCAGGTGGGTGTCAAGACTAGCCCAACATCTTCCATTATCATGGCCAACAGCCACTCCATTAATGTGTCCAGCTGCTTTTAAAGCCATCCTAAGGAAGTGGCTACATCTCAAGGCAGTGAGTCCCACAAGTTAATAATGCTTTGTGTAAAGAATCACTTTCTTTTCTTGGCCTTGAATGCATCCCCCATCAGTTTCATGGGGTGGGTTCTACTATTGAAGGAGAGGGGGGGGAGACTGTGCCCACTTCCTCCACACCATGACTAATCTTATAAACTTTTATCATGTTCCCCTTTAAATATATTCTGTAGTAAGATAGGGAGCAGCCCACCCTTGTGCTTGGCAATGGACCCTGCTGCTGTGTGACTTCAAGAGTTCTCCCCAAAAGAGCAGCCTGCATGATGAAGCAAAAGCTGACTAGCCTGAGGCCTGTGTCTTGCTTGCCCCAGAGGTGGCCCAGTCTGGCTATGGCCCTTTCCCCCAGCTGCTTCTGCAGGATCCTGGTGGGCACAGCATCAGCATTTTACCTTGTCTTGTGCATTGATGTTAGCCCCGCAGGCAATGAGATGCTCTGCGCAGTCACAGTGCCCTGTCCGGACAGCCACGTGCAGCGGGGTGCTCCAGAGCTGCCAGGCAAAGAGAATCACTTTTAACAGCACGCCAGAGCACACCGTGTACACTTCCCTGGGCTAGAGCTATTTTAGGTGGGGAAGGTGGACTTGGGTCGACACCTCTAACCTTGTCCCTTGTGGAGATCTTGGCTCCCCTGTTGATCAGGCGCTTGAGGATCTCCAGGTGTCCCCCACGGCAGGCCCAGAACACAGGTGTCGCATCGAGCTGGCAAAAGCAAAGCAGACTCGATTATATTGGGGAGGTGGAAATCTGACAAAGGAGCAAGGGCCTTGTGGCACACCTGGACAGGAGCAGGAGACACTGTGGACCTGGCCGTGGGATGGTCAGGTCTCTGCTACTGGCTGCTTCTCTTTGGGTGAGAAGAGCATTTTAAAAATTATCCTCCACTTGCAGTCTGCTCTACCACTTCATTCTGCTGCATGTACAGACCAGGCCTTATTTGGCTACCTTGGTCGAGAGGGTACCTAGCCCTTCATTTTCAGGTGAACTCTCTTGAGAACACGTAGTGTGGACTTATGTGGAAGGCAGGTGCAGAGAGGTCAGGGCAGTGCTCCAAGATCTCAGTGGGTCAGAAGGGGCTGCTGTGGCACTCTGAGCTGGAGGAATGAATGCTGGCCATCAGGTGAGCCTCACCATGTCTCTTGGTTCCAGTTTGGCCCCGGCTTCCAGTAGTTTCTCCACGATCTCTGCATGGCCTCGGAGGCAGGCCCGATGCAGGGCGGTGCATTTGAACTGCAACAAGGACAGATGTGGAGGATATTGGTTTGAGTTGCCTGTACCACACATATCTCCCCATATTTCCATCCCCCAAGGCGATCAGGTGTGCCCTTCCCAGGGAGGACACCAAACAGAGTCCATCAGATGAAACACAGGGTATCTGTAGCATCCTTTGATTACCATTATATTAGGGCAGAATGACACCATTACCAGTGCAAATACAGCTTCCCAAACCCATGTTTGCCATGGTAGCATGAAAGCAGAGCTAGGTGGTGGTAGGTATTTGCAGGGGAGAACTGTTTGGCAGAAGTGGGGTGCTGATTCCCATCCATCAATTCTTTCCCACAGACCCTCCTCTGCATGTCATCCCCCTGCCTGGCTTATGTCCAGCTTTGTAGCACAGCAGAAGAAATACGTGGGAGACTTCCAGAAGGAGTTGCCAGGGAGAATTGGGGGGCTGAGGAAGGGTTGTCTTCTAGTGTTCCAGCATAACTATAGCAGGTGCCCTGGCCTGGATAGCCCAAGCTATCACTATCTCATCAGATCTCAGATGCTAAACAGAGTCAGCTGCGGTTAGCACTTGGATGGGAGACCATCAAGGAAGTTGAGGGTTGCTGTGCTGAAGCAGGCAATGGCAAACCACTTCTGTTTTGTCTCCTTCCTTGAGAACACTACAGGGTCACCATAAAGTCAGTTATGATGGCACTTCCCACCACCAAGTATGGCAGGCAAGGACCCAGGGAGAAATCATGAGCAGGTGGACTAAGAAGTAAGCTCCATTTTATTCATTGGGGCTTCCTCCCAGAAAGGTGCTGTTAGGAGGACAGCAGTCCTAGTCACTGACTAAGCATGTGCTACACTGTCAACCTGCAACCCATAAAGCTGAAGAGGAGCAAACGGGGTGGTTCCTTTCCTCCTTGGTGGGACAATTTCCAGTGCAACACTGAGAGCTCATGGCTTAGTACACAGAAATGCTATATGCAGAAAAGTTGTCCCTGAATGTGTCCCTGAATGAGATCGCATAGAATTCTAGGATTCAGTTCACTGATAGATCTATGTCCTGGTTCATCCATGCAGGGAAATGAGGTCACACAGATGTGATGGTAAAGTAGAGGATGATATTTTGCACTGTTCCCATCTGTCCAAAAAAAAACCTCACTCAAAACAAACATGGAAAAGCAATGCAAAATGGGGGGGTGGCCTTTCTTCCAGCTCTGCTCTCCTGTCTTATTTGCATGTTTTAGAAGGAAGCTCATTCAGAACTAGAGCTCCCAGGCGCAGCCCATCCTGGCCCCTCATGGCTTTGTCCCCTCATTCTCCTGCATGTGAACCCGAGTCTAACTGTGATCTCCCTTCTGTTTCAGCTGTTCTCATGTGTTTTTTTAAGATATAGGAGTCTGAGCAATATTTCCAATGGCCAGCAGGTGGTGTTTGGGAACCGTGTACACGCCGCTCGCTCATGAGGCACAGAAGAGGCAGCTTCTTCCAGAGACATTGGGGAAGAACAACAGCTCTGGTCGGGTCTGGGTGTTAGATGGGAGGTACTAGACCGGTGCTTGGCTGGCTAACCAGAGGGAGCCCAATGTGAGACAACAGGGCATAAGTACACTAATTATTCAAGAAACGTGATGGGAAAAGGTGAGGGTATAAATATGTCAATAAAACCATGCGCAGGAAAGGGCTGCTGCATAAGCCCCATTGAAATGAGCTGGAACTGCACATCTTTCGCTGGGGCTTGCCTAGTGGCATTTCCCAGCAGACCGGGCCCCACGTTCTTGAATAGCAAGGAGAATGGCGTTTGCATGTTATTCCTCAAGTGCAAAGATGTCGCGGCCAGCTTGATCCTCTTTTCCTTCGTCTGTATACTATTCTCTGCTAAGGCTGCTGCATTTCACTTATCTAAACCAGATCAGTTCACCTCCCTGAAATTACTCTTTCCTTTTATGCAAGCCCTTGCGGCAGGTGTGTGTGTGTGTGTGTGTGTGTGTGCTTAACTGGCATCTTTTCTTTAGTCTGCAGAGATCAGTGCTCCTTAGTGGCTCAATACCTTGTCATGAGCGTTGGGATCCCCTCCATCTGCCAGATATTTGTCAATCACGAGGATCCGGTTTTCCAGGGCTGCTTGCAGAAACTGTTCTGGGTTCACAGGTTCTGTCTAGAGAGAAGAGGAACGGAATGGCCATGCCTGCCATCTTTGTGAGGATGGCCCAGAAAAGGCCTCTCTCTCTCTCTCTCTCTCCCCTCCCACCCACCCCCATTCCTCCCAAGGGGTGGGCTCCTGGTTGGTGTTTTTCACAGGCTGCGGAAGGGATACTCACTATTACTTCTGGCTCGCGTTCCTTGGGGCGGACCACCTTCTTCCGTTTCTTCTTGTTTTTGCGCAGCTTGATAATGGCCTCCAAGTCCTCCAAGCTGTCCAGCTTCAGTCTGGAGTTACTGAGTGTCTCAAGCTGGCAACAAATTTTGGAAAAAGTGAGGCCTGCAGGCAAGCAACGTCCCACATGGGGAACCAAGGGGCCACAACATTTCAGTGCCAGAGGTGGAAATCCAAAGGACACTTTCCCCTTCATACTTTTTAAAAACAAACATTTTTCTCCCCTGTGGGGAACTGACCACATTCTTCTTCCTCCATTTTATCCCCACAACAACCCTCTGAGGCTGAGTGTGGGACTGGCCCAAGATCACCCAGCAAGCTTCCACAGCAGGCTGGGGATTCAAACCTGGTAGACCACACTTGCCATCCTCATACACCACCATCTTAGGCAGCTCCCATTCATTTCAGGGGAGAGAGTGCAAGAAACCTTCCTAGTGGATCATGCCCCACCCCTGCTTTGCCACTTTAATAATATGCAAGCTCCACCCCCTCAGCTTAGCTCCCATCCTTCGCCTCATCACTGAACAGCCTGTCTCAAGTCTGTGGCATGTCAATCACTGGCAAGCAAACAGCCATCTGACAGAGGGGCCTCATGGGATCATATAGTGGGGCTGGGCAACATGTAAACAAAAGGCCAGCAGGGGACCACTGGGCAATTTGGGGTGGACCAACTGCTGCCTGATGGTTGTGGTGCTTCCTGGAAATATGGTCCTGGTTGGACCTTGACTTGATCTGGCAGGGCATTTCTTATGATCTAAATTAAGAGGCATGATAAGGATCACTTTTACCATTAACTATTAACCGATACCTTGACGATGGAAGTTTAAAACACAACAGATCCTGGAGAAAGAAAAAAGCCCTAGACCTTTCCAGTAAAGTCAGTAAATTGTTCTCCTACAGGACTGTCCCCCTTCTCCCTCCCCTACAGCACAACAAGGCGAATTTTCTCCCAGTGCCCTGCCCCCCCCACTCACCTTTCTTCTCCTCTCCTCTTCTGCCTTCTGTTTCTCCTTGCTGACAGCTTCCCATACACCAGCTGGGCCCGGCTGCCAAATTTCCGGCTCTTTGGCTGCATTTCTGGAGAGTTCCTCGAAACCTCGCCCTTTCCCCTCATGTCGTTCATCACTTACCTGGGAAAACAAGCAAAGCCTGAGGTCATGGGGGTTGATGGGATCAGGGAGCACATTATGGGAAAGGAAGTCTGGGACTGGGCTCTGGGCTAGCCTTAACAAAGCAGAACCTACTTGAGGAGTACCGGAATTTTGGCATAAAAATTCATCTTGGACTTCAGCTGGTGGATTATGAACCGAAATAGGGTCACACCCTGATCTGAGTAGAGCATCACGTAAGTAACACCACCAAGATTCTCTCTTTTTTGTTCTTGTCAGGGCTTTTTTGGTAGAAAAAGCCCAGCAGGAACTTATTAACATAACAGGCCACACCCAACAGTAGTAACTCATTAGCATGTTAGGCCACACCCTGACAGCTCAGCGTATTAGGCCACACCCCATGGCTGCAGGGAGCTCAGACAAGCCGGCCCTTGGACAGGCTGGGGAAGGCATGGGGAGTCCCTGATCCTTCCAGGGGCCCCCCTGGCCCGCCCACCTCGGAGTCACCGGGGGTCACCGCCTCGGAGTCGCTCTCCAGGCCTTTCCTCTGTAGCCACGCACGCAGAAGGTTTTGGCTGTATTGGGTGTGGCCAACTCTGAAGCCAGCCAGAACTCCCATTCCTGCCCCAAAATGGCCCTGGTTCTTGTTATTGGGAAGGAAAAAAGGAAGGATGGAGGCAGAGAGAAGAGTGTAGGCCAAAGACAACAAGGAGGAAACAGGAGGGGAAAGGCAAAGAGGAAAGACAGAAACTGACTTGGGTGGGCTGGTTTGGATTAAAGGTGGGTCCAGGATCCCAAATAACTGAAGGCTCTCAAAATAGCTTGTTTCCAATCTAGGGTGGGTAGGCATATTCCCACTTGAACTGCACAAAGCTGACCCACCTCAGTACCACACATACGGTTTTTCAGTAACGTTTACACATTACATTTGTGAAAGTTTGAGCTGTGATTTGAGTCCCTTCTGGCCCTGATAAACAGAATCATACTGACCCTGCCCGCTCATCAGCACATACTCACCAGCTTGTGAGCACAGATGGGAGTAAGCAGTGAAGTGGCTAAATTTGCGGATGATACAAAGTTGTTCAGGGTGGTGAAAACCAGTGAGGATTGTGAGGCACTCCAAGGGGATCTGTCAAGGATGGGCGAGTGGGCGTCAACATGGCAAATGGGGTTCAATGTGGCCAAGTGCAAGGTGATGCACATTGGAGCCAAAAATCCTAAATATAAATACACATTGATGGGGTCTGAACTGGCAGAGACTGAGCAAGAGAGAGATCTTGGAGTTGTAGTAGATAACTCACTGAAAATGTCGAGACAGTGTGTGACTGCAATAAAAAAAGCCAATGTTATGCTGGGGATTATTAGGAAGGGTATTGAAAACAGATCAGCCAATATAATAATGCCCCTATATAAATCAATGGTGAGACCTCATTTGGAATACTGTGTGCAATTCTGGTCACCACACCTTAAAAAGGATATTATAGCTTTGGAAAAAGTGCAGAAAAGGGCAACTCGAATGATAAAAGGGTTGGAACACTTTCCCTATGAGGAAAGGTTAAAGCGCTTAGGGCTCTTTAGCTTGGAGAAAAGACGACTGAGGGGTGACATGATCGAGGTTTATAAGATTATGCATGGGAAAGAGCAGGTAAAGAAAGAGGTACTTTTCTCCCTTTCTCACAATACAAGAACCCGTGGGCACTCCATGAAATTGCTGAGCGGTCGGGTTAGAACGGATAAAAGGAAGTACTTCTTCACCCAAAGAGTGATTAACACATGGAATTCACTGCCACAGGAAGTGGTGGGTGCTACAAGCATGGACGGCTTCAAAAGGGAATTAGATAAGCATATGGAGCAGAGGTCCATCAGTGGCTATTAGCCACAAGGTATAGCTAGGGGCTCTGGGGCAAGTGATGCTCTGTCTTCTTGGTGCTTGGGGGGGGGGTCAACAGTGGGAGGGCTTCTAATGTCCTGGCCCCACTGCTGGACCTCCTGATGGCACTGGTATTTCTGGCCACTGTGTGACACAGAGTGTTGGACTGGATGGGCCTTTGGCCTGATCCAACATTGGCGTCTCTTATGTTCTTATGAAAGCAAGAAATTGCAAGTAGATAAATAGGTACCACTTCGGTGGGAAGGTAACAGCATTCCGTGC